CTTCTTCTATTTCGTTCTTCAAAGTCTTAAAGTTCTGGGAATTTTCTTAATTAGTGATTAATGGGGGAGGGCCTAGCCCATGTAGGTTCTGCCACCCATGAACCACCCTTGATGGTCCTGGGCTCTCTAAGAAAGCAGACTGAGCAAGCCAGTAAGCAGCACCCCTCATGGCCTCCCTATCAGTTCCTGTCTCCCAGTTCTTGCCCTGTTTGAGTTCCTGTCCTGACTTCCTTCAGTGATGGACTACAGTGTGGAAGTGTAAGACAGGGGTTGTCCATTTGTATTTAAGAACTTTTTCTCAAGGACTTTGTAAACCTTACTAAGCACCAAGTGTCTGCAAGATACAGATTCAGTCATATGATCTAAATCTTCTGGGGTATGTTAGCATCAGTAGCCTTTGGAGTGTTGTGGTCCATGGAACTGAGCCCACTCCAAGATGGATATGAGACAGAGTCACCTCAGATGAGCCAGGGTGTCCGTTGCAAGCTGGACCTCATACATGGCTTCCTCAATACTTTGTCACCTCACAAGCCAAGTAGCAGGCGGTCTAGCAATGAAGCATACGGTGCCCATATGTCCCCAACTCAGGAGTACCCTGCCCACTCGGGCCCAATGTGCCACCTTTACCAACAGCTTATTGCTCTTTCAAAAGCAGGAGAGATGGAGGGGTGACATAGATACAGGCTGGGTAGCTCCTTAATAAAAGACACAGGGTGAGTCGGGACTGGACAGAGGCAAGAGCTCACAGCACAGCAACTGCTGACAGAGTCACCTGATGCACCTGGGACTGCCCAAGGGCCAAACAAGTAGCTCCATTCCCAGTCACCAGAACATGTGCCCTCCACAATCTTCTTGCCCCCAATCAAAATCCCTTCAAAACACAGTGCCTTTCAGCCCAAAGTGAGGGTTGATTTGCTCCCACGATGGATCCGTTTGTCTGGTCAATGAAAACACAGAAAGGCGCTTTGAGACTTGTGCCTATTCAGAAGTGACAGGGCGCATCCAGTGACTGTCACTGTCAAGTGTGACCTTGCACACCGTCCTCTTGGTTTTGTAGCGTCCACGGATACTCTTGGGGTTTCACTTCATTTTGTACCTTTCATGGCCAATTGAAAACGGTTTCTGTTCTACTTTAAAACAGTTACAATTTTATTTCATTTGCATCTCTTCATTGTGATTTCCTGACAGCAGCTTCATCCCAGTATATGATGTACTTAGACCACATTCACTTCCTAATGCCACACTCCCCTCTCCCCTTTCTCCCTTCCCACCACCCATTGTCCTCTTTCTTCCTCTAGACACCTTTGCTTCTACTTTCATGTCACATGTGTGTCTATGTATACATATGTGTATATGTATGTGTAGACATATGTGTGTATATATACATATATATATTACACACAAAACCTGGGATTTGTAGATGAGAAAAACCTATTTGCATGTCCACGTATGATTTAATATGCTTAATTTGATAATCTCTAGTTGAATCCACTTTCCTGAAAGCAATGCAATATCATTCTTCCTCATGGATGAATGAAATGTATGGGTACATGTGTATCACATTTATTGTATTTCCTTTATCTGTCCCTCTGTTTATGGACAACCTGGGTTGATCCCATGACTTGGCTGTTCTGAGTGGCACTGCTGGTGTCTTTATGCTGCCATGCTTCTCAGGTCCAAACGGAAGTGACAGAAGGGCCCTGCAGCTCTCTGAGCTTCAGCTTTGCCCTTTTAAGTCCTCCACTGTCCGGAACAGACAAGAATCAAAGTTGAAAGCTCGACAGCATCTCCACGGACATTTTAGGGATGGCAGATGAGTTAATGGGACTGAGGTTTCCACGCACAACCAGTGCTGAAAGATGCTAGCCATCAGCTCATTGTAGGCTGCTCAGGTTATCCGAGGGAAATAATATGTATGTAGACTCAATAGAAAGCATAAAAATTATAAATGAAACTAATAACGCAAAAGACATTTGGGAAATAAGACATCCCTTCTGACAGGAATAATACTGGAAGCCTTGGGGAAAGAAAACCAGAATATTAAGTGAAAGATGTAAATTGTAGAAATTGGATCCATAAATATTCCTTTGGAGGCAGAGGAAGGCAACAGCTCTATCTCACAGAGCCTGGCTTCTCAGCGAGGATGAACTCAAGGAAGGGAGTTGCTCGCTTCACATCCACAGAGGGCCAGGGCTCAGGAGCAGGAGGCCATGGGGAGGAGAGGACAAATGAGCAGCTTTGCAGTCTGGTGTCTGGGTTAAACTGAAGTTACCATTTCTGTGGGGGCTGCAGGAGGCTGGGGACAGCCCGGAGACCTTAACAAGGGCGAACAGAAAAACTACACGAGGCAGACCTGCTCAAATTTGATCAAAAACATCCCAATCAAGTCCAGTGCCACATGGAAGATTTTTCGTCTGTTTTGTTTGAAAGGGGACAGAAGGTGTGGATGGGTGGAGGATCATCCTGTTAAGAGGAGATGAATTTTGCTGCTTGTTTGTTTTTGTTGAGGGATTACTGTTCTCGGTGGAGTTGTTGCCTGCCTGGAATTTGATTAGGTTATTTTCAACTCCAACTCATTAGCTTAGACTTTCTCTAGGCAGTAGCAACCAAAAATACCAAGTCTCCCCATATTCCATGCCGTCTTTAGAGCAATAAGTATGCCGTCATCCTTGAAACACGCCTTGACTTGTTTGTCCTACCAGCCAGCAAATGGAAAATGGAGACTCGGGGCCCTTAAGTCAGGAGCAGATCCCAGTGGCCCCAGCCCAACTTGGTCTCTTTTGATTTCTCCCTCATCCATATGAGATGCAAAGGATAAAAACAATATGGATAGAGAGTTCAGCTGAGCAGTGATGGCACATGTGCCTTTTATCCCAGCATTCAGAAGGCAGAGGTAGGTGGGTCTCTGTGATTTCAAGGCCACCCTGGTCTACAGAGTAAGTTCCAAGACAGTGAAACTCTGTCTCCAAAAACAATCAAGCAAGCAAACAAATAAAAAAAAAAAAGAAGAAAAGAAAAAGAACAAAAGAGAATGCTCAGGTACTTCACGTATACGGCTCCACAATAAACACTGGGCGCACACAGGCAACAGAGCCTGGATTCAGCCCTCCATTCACAGCCCTGATTCACTATTTTTTCTTTTACATACTTATGTACATATAAGATATGTTTTGGTCGTATTCCCTCATTACCTGTTATTGTCCCCTTCCCAGTCCTTCTGGTTTCCTTCCTTTCCCCAGCTGTCCTCCTTTAACTTGTATGTTTGGTTTTGTGTGTGTGTGTGTGTGTGTGTGTGTGTGTGTTTATACGTGCATGAGTCCCAGTGATTTTCACTAGGGCTGTTTAGAGGCATGGGTGAGAGGTTATGTTTAGGAGCATGGGAACCTTGCCAGTGGCTTGCACCATTTGAGAAAAACGGGACTCCTTCCCTGGAAGCTTTTAATGGCCTAGCGATCCCCATGGAGCAGAGGGATCTCAGGAAACTCTCTGCCTTGACTTACTAATTTCTCATCCTAGCAAACCCTGAGCATCTATATTGCGTTAGACGCCAAGTCTTCAATAGAAAGTAAGGAGTTTTGGACTATCTGCTTTGGGGGCACAGCACCACAGGACATTCTCTGCCAGGAAGACTTCATCCAAACTAATTGTCTTTGGGATGACAGCCAAGTAAACTGTATCCCAAAATGCTGAGGCTTAGGATTTCAATAGATCTCTTGAGGGGACACAATGCAAACCATAAAACCAGACGACGTGGATAATATCCCCCGTTGTCTCTCAAAAAAAGCTTCCAGAATTTTTTTGGAAGAAGGAGAAGAGACTTAGAGCATCTACTTTGCTGTGCGTCTACTGAATAAATTCTTCCCAATCTCCTGATGTCCTCACCCCAATTGTCACCAGCTTTTAAAATTCAAAGTGTCCGGAAACTGTTGCTTAGTTTCACAAAGACCCCACTTATTTCTTCTTCCAATATTAATTAGCCACACGTTCTTTAAAAGACACTATCTCTCCTAAGATTGTTGGGGGCTTCAGAAAATTTAAAATGTGTTCACCCAAAGGAATGGAACTGAGGATAAAATTTAAAAAAAAAAAAACCCACACAACTGACTTTTGGCATGTCAAGATTTCTGCCTCCTTCTTTCCTCTCTGTGAGGTAAGTTGGAACTCTGATGAGCTGTATGTTCAGTCATGTGACCGCTAAGGTTATGTCTACAGAAACTTAGCTGTGTAGCTAAGAGGGATACAAGTCACCCCGATGTAGGACCTTCTGCTTGCCAATGTCTGTGCCTGAGATGTGGGGATTGTAGTTAAAAGTTAAGGAATCAAAATTAGGGAATATTATAAAGTCAGAACTTCAGTTGCTCTAGCCACTTGTAGGTAGTCCCCAACAACTGCAGCACTTGGACAACGCAGCTGGCATGGTTCTTGCTGCCTCAGGAAACTCTTTAGACAGTGCTAGATGATACAGTGGTTCAAGTATGGAGGGGGGCGCTGTTGCTTTGGAAAACCAGCTTCCAATGGAAAACAAGTGTTTGAACAGGGAAGGGAAGGGAAGGGAAAAGGAAGCCAGGATACTTTTCGAACAGTATTTTGTGGTGGCTTGGAAGTCATCATCCATGGTGCTGAATGGGAATTGTTAGGCTCCTGTGAAGGGCGGAGGCACATCCTTTGTGATCACCACAGGTCTACTCTGTTGTCATTGTTCCTTGAGGAAAATGTCATATGCCACAAATGGGACACCTCCAGCTCAGTGGGCATGTGGAACCAATAATGGCCTTTTAGCCATGCCTTGTAAGATCAGGAACATCACCTGAGTCGGTCCTGGAGTGTCAGGTGAGATTCAGATCTTCAGAGCAGAGGGAAGAGTTTGTAAAGACGGAGGTAGGAAGGAAAGCTGTGCTCACTAGATACAAAACATCAAAGGAGAGCAGCTCTCCCATCCTCAGGCTTCTAGAAGCAATATCAGGTATATTTCAATTAAAAAAGTAAACTTAATGCCAAGACTTACACTAATGCACGTACAAGGTACATAAGACTGCCCAAGTCAGGGCATGATAAGAGGATATGAGGAATCTCTGTGGGGTCTGTTTCTCAGTGGTCCCTCTCTCAGGAAACACCAACACCTCTGAACTATCAGTTCCTCCCCAAGGGCACTGTGTTCCTGCAGTCCTGGTTTGATCGGAATCAGACTCCTACGCATCTCATACGGGCTAAGAGAGCATAGTAGCATTTGATATAGTAATTATCTACTCTACACCATAGAAACTGCACTGTTCGGAACACCAACTGAGGGACCACAGCACTGCCAATGGCTTTCCTCTATCACCAGTTACCACCTTTTAAAGCCCAAATCTTTGCCTCCTGCCATCTCTGGGATCCAGGGCTCTTTGTTGGGATTTATGAAGGGTCTGGGTACACGAAACACTCTTCGGTGTTTCAGACCATGGGAAATTTTAAAGGAAGGACTCTAGGAAGGAGGCTTTGCCCACCCACTCCTCATTTTGCTTGCCTTTTTTTCTTCTATCCCTGCATCCTCCCCAACTCCAGTTGTCAGTGTCTCTCCTGTCCTTTCTGGGGAAGCCTCTGCCCTGAACACAGGGACCCAAGACCTGATCTGAGCCCAGGAGACCTCATCAAGCATTCGCTCCTCATCACTGGCTCTGTCTCGCAGCGGCTCGGAAGAGCAAGTGGTCTTTGTCTCAGATATATTCAGAATCACGTCTTCTCAACAGCCCTAGGAGGAGTCACAATTCTTCTTCCTGTTTTGTGAGAGAGGAAATTAAGGCTTTGAGAGGCTATATGATGTAATTAAGGTTACCAAGGGGAAGGGCCAGTAGACAGGCACGGGTCTGCCTGATTCTATAGCCCGGATCGGACTCTTGCTCCTTGTCTGAATGAATCAAGACCTGGGCAGCCATAGAAAATGGGAAGAAAACACAATCACCACAAAGGAGGATTTTCCAGAATTCTATCCAGGCTGTCTAAAAATGACTGTAAAAATAGAACACACTGGAAAACATGCCGGACACACTTGGTGAGAATTCTAATGAGCATCCAAGCTTGGCTGTACGCATCTGAGCTATGCCTGATGGAGGTCAGAAATGAAGGATTTATTCTGCCCACGAGTCAGAGCAACTATTGTTATTATTTAGCATTGATTAATTGTTCCTCCAGCCCCCTAAGACCTCTCCACACAGTTCTCAAAAAATCGTTATACTTCGAGTTTGCCTGCGCCTTGACATTCGGAGTAAAGGAGCTTTATTATGAGCCTTTGAAGAATAACCCATGTGTGAGTGGCCGTGAAAGCACCCACGCAGGCGACATGAACCAACCCACAGTTGGATGCTTCCTGGATCTTTCACCCCCATCTTGACAGTGTTGCTACTCAGGGGAGGTCATGATGGAGATTCAAACAAAGAAACAAAAGGCAGGACTTCTACCTGCTTACAGAGAAAACCCAGCAAGCTCCGGCCGTCTTCCATGTCGAGGACTTTGGGAAATGTATAAATATTGCATAATCACTAATGAGGAGGGGGAACCCTTCAGGGGTAATTACAGCAGGGAGGCCTCGGCCACATTCATGTGAGCCTGATTAAATGTAACATTGTAAAGGGAGCTGGGGCAGTGAATTTGCCTCCTGACATCCAATAACGCTCCCTGACCCTTCGGATATTGTCCTCCCTGGAGGTCAAAAGTATGAATAAATTATGGGTCTGACAACTTTGACGCAGAGAGGAGTGGGAATGGACAGCTCTCTGGGAAAAATATATCTGACATTGTTTGTGATGACAAAGTATATTTTTTTAAAAAAAAATCCATATGCTAATATTGCCAAATTTCGGCTTGCTGGGAAGAAGAGCAGATAGCCTCCGTTGCTATGTTTATTGAGAAGGCCAGGGACTCTTGGAGCTCAAAGCCAACATGCAGACTCAATCATTCAGCAGAAGGAAGGGAGGAACTAGGCCTTTGCTAGTGGCTCTCATCCGTCAGAAATGATCCACCCAGGGGCAGTGCCATCCCAAGGCATTGCCTGCAAAACAGCGCGGTCAAACAGTTACAGGACATGCTTCCACTTAGATAAAATGTCCAGTGCGTGGAGCCATCTGTCACTCATGAGGACCCTCATTTGCAAAGACAACTAAGCCAAGGCCATCACCTGGAATCTGTGAAGCTACGAAATTGTCACAGCTTGCTGAAGAAAGATTGTCTCTTGTTTCAGGTTCTGTCAGCAGATAGGGGAGCGGCAGAAATCAAAGCCTGAAAAGGAGAGGAGGGAATTACTCGGGTGGCCTTGGAGAGGCTGGCTTTTGGATGAAGGCCAGAGGGCAATGTTAAGAGCCCATCCATCCATCCATCCTAGTCTAGAGCCTATTGGCCTTGAGTTCAAAGATTCAGCACCAGGGACATAAAACCTATAATATTTGTCATTAAAGCAACTGGTAACATCCAATGTACTAGCTCTATATCACTCAAAAGGCAGGGTTGATGGCAAGCCCCTCTGTCCGTGGATAGTATGACCTTGATTAGACTGTACCAGTGGTGGCACAATAAACTTGTTCAGCAGCCCAGGCAGATTCTTTCTCTCCTGACCCAAGTCCAGAAGCAGCTGCATGCCCGTAGACACAGATTCAAGAACACTGTGCTGATTCCAGCTATTTGAAGCCCAGTTGGCAGTTACAAGGCAATGAAGGGCAAATAGATTTAATTTTGCATCACGGGCCTTGTTCAAACACTGTCCACTCTACCGATGAACTCCTCCATTGCTTGTATCATTTCTTGCCCTGGAAATACTTCCTCTGACTTCCTCTAGGAAATAGAGGACAGGGGGTAAACATCTAGGATGCAGGGGTCTGACCACCAAGCCTTATATGTAACTTCCTTCTTTCTTCCTCAGTGTGGTGGGCACTCTGATATGGGACCCATATGGTCACTGTGGGATTAGAACACTCTTGTCTCCAGTAGCCGAAAGCCAGGCCATGATGGGATACACAGTAGCCACCATCAGTTGAAAGCATCCGTGTTACAAATCTCACGTGTGTACAACGTTGAGAGATACCGGTCAACACAAGGGGCTACAGATTAATTTTGAGGTTTGTAACTTTCCATCCTAATGTTATTTATTTTGAGTGCTGAGACCTAGAACCCTCTGGAATTTTGTATATAGGGTGAGCGTTTCATTTCTCTCCCCCCTTTCTCACCGTTGGCAGGAAATGTTGGTGGCTGGTGGCTGACAGTTTTCACCTTCCAGGAATACGAGTAGCTGGAGAGGTCCGCCTTAGTGGGTGTGCTTCAGATGGCAGCCCCTATGCCATGAAAACTAGCCAAGTAGGGGGTGAAAGCATATGAGCGGGAGAAGTCCATAGCCCGGCTATGGATTCAACAGGGAAGTCCTTGGAGAGCATCCCCGGCGCAAAGCCCTTCACACAGTAACTTAGGAAACACTCAGTAACTTGGAACTACAGAATTCATTATCCAATATTCCTGAAGGCCAGCAATCTAAAATCAACCTATCCACAGGATCCCCATCCCCCTGAAGGTGTTAGGAAAGACCTTCATGATTTGTTTCTTGACTTTTGTTTACCATAACTGGGTTTGGATAAACATAATTCTCATATTCGTCAGATATGGATGCTCCTTTTATAAAGGTCATGACTCACACTGAATTGGGCACTCTAATCCAAAATGGACTCATGTTAACTAAGCCCACGTGAAACAATCCAGTTTCCAAACAGCCATGTTCTGAGGTCCTGGGGATTAGAGTTCCAGCATATGATACCAGGGTATATAATCTACCCCACAGCACCAGCTGTGCCCAGACGTTTCTCTTCCCACTTCTCGGTCTTGCTCATCCCCTTCCATCACTCTCTTGTAGATATTAACCCCCAAATAGAGCCCTCCAGTATGTGAAGGGTTTGGGGGGGGAGGGAGGCATCTTTCGCATTTATTATTGGTGGTGTTTTGTCATTGTTTGCTTTTTTGGTTTGTTTTTGCCGAATTGACACGTGCTAGAGCAATCTGAGGAAAGGCAATCTTAATGGAGAAGATGCCACCATCAGATTAGCCTATGGGCATTTTCTTGAATAGTGAGAAAGTGTCTGGCCCACTTTGAGAGGTGCCACTTCTGAGCAGCTGGTTCTGGGGGCGGGGGCATATAAGAAAGCAGGCTGAGCAAACCACGAGGAGCAAGCCAGGAAGCACCATTCCTCCATGGTCTCTGCTTAGTTCTTGACTCCAGGTTCCTGCCTTGAGTTTTGCCCTGACTTGTCCGCTGGGATTGAGTGCAAACCTGAGATTTGTAAGAAAAAAGACATGCCCTTTCCTCCCCAAGTTGCTTTGGTCATGATGTTTTATTGCAGCAATAGTAATCCTAACTGGGACACAGTGGCTTAAGAAGTCTCATCGACTCTTTGTCAATCCAGGTCAAGAGTTGACTGTCGTATCTAATGCATTCCACTCTCCACTCCCCTCAGCCCGAGTATCTTGCTCTTGGACTGGAGGCTATTTTGACACTTAGTTCCTTTCCGGTAAAGTCAGTCTTTCATCTGCCCTTCCGCTCCCTCCCCCTGGATCTTCTGATGCACGGAGTCACCAGGAGCTGTCTGTCAGTCTTCTCTCCGCTAGCACAGATTCACCATTCACACCTCATGTGACACACCCACAGTGGGTGAAAACAGGAGCCATCGAGGGGATTCTGGGATGAGAGAAATGGGTTCCTTAACTTGATCACCATCCCCAGTTGGCTCCTGCCTCTGGGTGGGAATAGCAACTGAAATCCAGCTGTTTCTCATCATGTCTGCTACCCACAGGCAATTTATCCAATTTGTCACTGAGCCCTAGGAATTCACGGTGCTGCATGGTTGCCTCCCTTCTGCCTTCCTGTCACCTGTCTCCCAGTTTCGTGTCCCCTCCTTAGGGTGACTTGATTGCTTCTATGAGCGTGAACCACTCTCAAATCTCCCAGAGAGTGTTGAAAGTCCCTATCTATCCCTTGGGAGGGGGTGGAGGAGCTGGGAGCTGAGGGGGCCATCACAACAGACACAATCCCAGATGCCTTCTGTCTCTTCCCCTTCCCTGTCCTTTAGCTCAGTTACTCCCTCATGTTGACCAGGGAAGGGGGCGGGGAAAGGAAAACAGGCTCTGGGATAAAGTGTGCCAGAGAAGTGCTATCTGCAAGTGGGCCACGGGCACCCTGGCACCCACGTAGGTACAGCTGTCTTTAAAACTTTGTGTGATACGTGCAGTTTACTTGCTAATTCAGACGTCACAGGAAAAGAACCAGTCAAATCCAGTTCTGGGATTCTCCATGGAACCTGCTCGCAAGACCAGTGTCCGAGGGCCAGCACTTTCCAATCTGATCAAGGACCAACAATGGCCAGTTTAAGGCCAGGGATATCCTGTCGCTTTGCATTCACCTTGGCCTACCCAAGGCGATTCTCACACTTGAGATCTGGAGTTACCTTCAATGCAAAACTTAACCAAAAGCACTGCCCCCAACTGGCCATCGTCATCACCATCTTCAGTGAGCTTGACCTAGTCAACCTGAATGATGTTCTTGTTTTCATTTCATTCTCACAGCCATGCTGAAGGAGTTACGACTGACTGTCCTCAAGCATGGAAAGAGGAAACCAGTTCCAAGGCCAAATATCTCAGCAGTGGATTCAAGGTTTTTTGACATTAAAGCCAAAGTTCCATCCTGCTTCTACCCTGGTGCTTATTGCTGACCTCATTCCGTAGAAGGAAGACGAGAAACAAGGCAAAGGAGCAGCCTTCAGCATTTTCAGATGCAGAGAATGATGGACAAGTGGAAAAAACAGTAGGGCTGCTCTTTTCCTTAAGATTTATTATTTATTATTCCAGAGAGTGTGCATGTGTGCCTGCCTGCACGCATGTGTGCCTGCATGCACGTGTGCACACGCCGTGTGTGTGTGTGTGTGTGTGTGTGTGTGTGTGTGTGTGTGTGATTGCCACATATCAAGGGCTCTCATGGAGACCAGAAGAGTGCATCAGATCCCTTAGAGCTAGGATTACAGATAGTTATAAGCTACTATGCATGGGTACTGCAAACCAAAGTCAAGTCCTCAGCAAGACTAGTATGTGCTCTTAATCTCTGAGCCACCTCTGCAGCCACAAGTGGGACTGTTCTGAAAGAAAACTAGTTTTTTATGGCTAATGTTTGCCTCTGGCTAGGACTAGCCTGATAGATTCTTGTCCAGCCTGCTCAGTCAGACACTCCCGGGTTTCCTCTCTTCTAGTTTTCAAAAGGTAAGAAATCAATCCCCTGCCAATTCTGTTTCCTTTGAATTCAAAGCACGTATGTTGAAAAGGAATTACAGATGCAAGATGAGCCCTGTGGACTCCAGAGGGGTTGGAATGGATGAGGGGGCTTGGTAAATGGCTGTTATTTGGGTATGAGCTGTTGCCTCACCATTTACATAAATTTGGAATCTGTGCTCAGATGGGCACGCCTATGAATTGTTCGTGAATCGGAAATAAAATGGAAATGATGGTAAGAAATGAAGTAACTGTGTTCACATTTAAACACATTCATTACATAGGGAAACACAGTGGATATTAAGAAAGAAAACTTGACCTTGAAATCAGCATCTAAATACTTGCTATGTGATAGATCCCAGCTATTCACCTTCTGCCTCTTGGCTTAACTCTTATTGATGCGTAGTTTTTGTTTGGCCCAAACATGATACCTCCCATCTGTCTTCTCTCTCGACCTCATTTAAACAGCTTTATCTCCTTGGCACTGTTGAACATTAGCCCAAGTTTAGAAATATTGGGGTTCATAGGAACTTCTGCCTAGACCAGATCCTAGAAGAAACCAGTGTTCCCAAGAATCCTATTAAAGTTACTCTCTGGGAAATTAGATAATATTCTCTGCCTTTTGGGCATTTCTAAAACCCAAGAGGGTAATCTGAGGTCCTATATAATTAAGCCCTCAGGAGTCAGAGTGGAGGGGAGATAAATACTCTCCTACTTGTGGGGAAACATTACTCTGGATCCTACTCCAGCCTGTCCCAGACTCCAGGAACTTAGGCCTAGAGACTGGGGTCAGACAATGCTTCCTCCTTGGACCAATGGCAAATTATGGGCATCAGGGTAGAGATTTTGGAGTCATGTAGGTTCAATGGATGAATCCCAGGTCTGCCATCCTCTCTTCAGGAAGGAATTGTTCCCTCTAAATTTGGCGGTAAATATTCACCTGGAGGACATGACACAGTGAAGTCGGCAGTTTCATCAGGATGGGG